TCCTGTCCATGAGAGGATGTAGGGGCAGGGGTGTCTGAGGCAGGATCTGGAATTGAAGTAGAAGCAAATACAGGAGAGGTAAATGGGGTATTTGAGGTAGAAGTCAGAATGAGGTGTTTAAGATTTTGTATTTCCTTGATTAAAGGGGAATTAAGAGAGTGAGTGTCAGACTCAAAATGCTGAGGAAGGGAGGGGGAAGATAGCGGAGAGGGAGTTTGAGGTGGAGAAGGGAGGGGAGTTGGGTTGGGCCCTGGAATGGAAGGCAAGGGAGGGTATAGCAAGGGGAGAGCATGGGGAAGACTTGGCTGTGCCTCGGGCTGGGGAGCAGGAGGAGGTTGGGAATGGGCCCTAATCGGAAGCAGTTCATTGGCTATGGTAGGATCAAAAGCCAAGGTGGAGGGGTAGGAAGGAGGAGGAGGGGCAAAGGCCCTTGGTGGGTTGGGATCCCATGAAACTTTCTTAGCCAGAAGAACCTAATGGGAAGAACACAGGACACAGAGGGAAGGAATAGCATGGAGATCAAAGAAAGTTTGGATGTATGGTAATTCAGACCATTTGCCATTACGATGCCAGAAATTTTCTAAATTCAAAATATTGAGGTTTCAGTGTCTGGCCTAACAGAGTCATTATCTAACTCATACTAAGGCTTGGCAGTGGTGCACAGGAACTTCAGCGTTTCAGCCTGATTGTATCTGAAAGTCCTAGTCTTTGATCTGATAGTATGAGACAATCCTAGCTTTTTTAAGTATTTAAGTAAGCAGGCCAAAGGCGTCAGACCCTGAGGTTTTGAGTGTTTGGTTCCCATAGCAACAGATTAGGCAGAAAGCGAAAGAAGAGTTAAAGACCTCAGCTGGTGGGTGTGGGAACAAAAAGGAAGATTACAGGGGAGAGAGTAAGAGAGAGAGAGAGAGAGAGAGGGAGAGTGGGAGAGAGAGAAAGCAGGAAGAGAAAGGTTTGGCTTAGGTCACGTAAAAACGAGAATGAGAAGAATCGGGCAACAAAAGAAAAGCGTCCTTTTTTTCTATTGCTGATTTGAGTTGAATTCCCAAACCCCAGGGCAGCGTCCTGCAATCACTGGGATGGGGGAGGGGAATACGAGCTGTGCATGTCCCTGCCAATGACCACAACGTCCTGTAGTCGAAGGCAGGGCGGAACCTCCCACACACCGGTGTGATTTCAAGTGAGCAAAAACGAGTTGGGAGAGGTTCAGCAATGTGGTGCGTGACCAGCCAGTAGGAGCCAAAGTAGAAGGTAGTGGGCCTGGAGGCCGAGATGGGCCGGGAATGGAGAAGAATGGAGAGGCCTAGATGAAGCTCAGAGTAGCCAGTGAATGGAGGGAGAGGAGAGAGAGAGAGGGAGAGCAAGAGAGAGAGAGAGAGAGAGCAAGAGAGAGAGAAAAAGAGGATGAGATGTTAGGGGAAAGCAAAAGATGGCAGGAGCGAGGAAGGGAAGGGAGCTGAGGTAAAGATAAGTAGATATAAGCAAGTTAGAAGATCTAGCTTTGAAGACAGGAAATCCTAGCCCTTTGTTAGCTATAAGAACTTAGGTGAACTGCATATTTCTGACAGTTCCTTCACAGTAAAGTTGTAACTAGTCTGACAGGGATGAAGACATTCTAAAGAGACACCTATGACCCTCACTTTGGCTATCAAACTATTGAAACAGAGAACTCAAAGAAACTAAAATTCTCCAAAGAATCCCAAGCTGGGAGAAGAGACAATCTAAAGACTAGGCCAGCAGGAAAGGAAGCCAGGAAAGTGCTGGGAGAAAACATGATGGGTCGATCATAGACGGGACCAGTGAATGCATAACTGCCTGTGTGGCAGACTCGCAGTCCTTTCTTACAATGTCTTACGTGATAGGTAGAGAGCTGGCAGGAGCGAGTGGATGGCATGGATGGAGGAGGCACCGAGGCACAGATGGAATTCTCAGCGGGATACAGATTTATTTCGCATGGGGCACCTTTCCCTCGGGGAAGGGAAAGATGTCAGGGAAGGGAAGGCGGGAAGGGAAGGGAAGGATGTCAGGGTAGGGAAGGGAAAGATGTCCGCCCACGGGTTGTGAGCTGGGACTCTATATATGGGGGCTTTAGGGTATGGAAGGGGGGAATGTTTGGGGGAGAAATCAGGGAGGGGGAAGCAGGTAGGATTAGGGTGTGGAAGTGTTTTCTTTTTCCTCTTAAGTAAGAGGAGAGAAAAACAGCTTCTAAAATCTCTGGTTAACAGGTAGAATCTACTTATCTTATCTTTGGAGGTCAGAGGAAAGGCAGGCTGCTTCTCAGCAGAGTTTGTTTCCCTTGACTCCAAAGGTCAAGGTGAGGTCCCTGTTGGGGAGGGGGGAGCTGCTATTTGGAACCCTAACAGAACTCACTTTGTAGACTAGGCAGGGCTTGAACCCACAGAATAGAGAAAGCTAAGGATCAAACTCAGGATCAGAAAGCTATAATTAAGGGCTGGAGAGATGGCTCAGCAGTTAAGAGGGTTCGGTTCCCAGCACAAACATGGTGACTAACAACTATCCATAACTCTAGTTCCAGGAGATCTGATGCCCTCTTTTGGCCTCTGGCATTGTGCAAATGTGGTGCACTTATATATATGCAGGTAAAGCACTCAAAAAAAGAAAGAAAACTAGAATTAACAAACTAGTTGTTATGGTCAGTCTTAATTTAACAAAGTCCACACCTCAGGATATGTTTGTGAATGTATTTCCAGGGATGAGTAAAGAGAACTCTGACCAGGTGCTGATAAGATTGGTTAAGAGCGTGTACTGTTCTTCCAGAGGACCTGAGTTCAATTCCTAGCCCTCACATCAGGCAGCTAACAACCACCTATAATTCCAGTTTCAGAGGATCTAACACTGCTGTCCTCTGTGGGCTCCAGTACACATGTACATACATAGACACATACCCATACATACAAGTATGATTAAAAATAAACTAAATCTTAAAAAATAAAAATGAAAGAGAGCTCTGACCTAAGGAACAGGTTAATCTATTGTTGGATACAAATTTCAATAGATCATGGGGAGGTGATCAAACCCAGGGCCTTGTGAGTGTTAAGCAAGCACTCTACCACTGAGCTGCAACCTCAGCCCCAATTCAGTTTTCCATAGGTAAGAAGTGAGACTTGTTACAGACCAAAGGCATGCAAAAACTTTCTCTAAAGGTCCGAACAGCAAATCCTCAGGGCTTTATATGCCACACTGTCTCGATTATTACCACTGAAATCTGCTTCTGTAGTACAGAAGCATCCAGAGGCCCAGCTCTCAGAAAGCATCCTTAACAAAGCAGGCTCTGCCTCTGCAGTAGCTTGAAGGCAAATTGTCTCCACCCAGATTCCTGTTGAGGCTTGGGCCACAAAGCAACAGAGTTGAGGGGAGGCCATTTAAAGGCATTACTGACTTTCTCCTGGAGTGAGTCCTCATTCTTAACTGGGCTGTGATTAACACGTGGTTCTCACCAGATGTGGCTGCCTGATCCCAGACTTTGCAGCTTCCCAGCACCATGAGAACCAAAAATAAACCTCTCATCTTTATAAATTAGTCTCTGGAGTTCTGATATAGCAACAGAAAACAGACTAAGGTGAAGCATAGTTTGCTAGCCCATACTATAGGTGATGAGAGTCAACAGTAAGGAGAGGACAAACCATAAACACGCACCACATTTACTAGAGAGTGTGGTTAGAAATCAGGAGGGGAAGATCTGAGACATACCTGGAAGAGTAGGCAATGAAGAAAAGACATCCTAAGCAGGGGGACTGCCTGTGTGCCAAGGCACAAGCATAGACATGACAGTCAGCAGATCCTCTAAACACACGTGCCTGAGGAAGCATGTGCTTGCACCCGAGAAGAACGAAGCTGGAAGATGTTTAGATGAACCTTACAAGTCATTGTGACAGATTATTAGTGATCTCAACCGTCTGTTTGAAATTTGGACTTTGTAGATTATAAAATCCTCATTACAC